AGTATTTTAAAATGATAACTTTGTGGGGCTTAAAATGAATTGAGTTTATGAAATGGGGGCGCGAAACATTCAAGGATTATGGTAATCCATTACCCTTCACAAATCGTTGACACAACCCATAAATTTTGAAAATTCCAGTCGGGAATCTCGAAAAACAGGGTATTGTGTTCGACTCACAAACCAAAACACCACCGGGGTCGGACCCGGGGGCAGGCGCAACTCACGGGTAAGTGCCTAACATTGGGGTTTCTTTTTACCTACTTTTACATTAGTGTGCATATTAATTAGGACATGATTAATTAAGATTTTATTTGGAAAAATTTTTTTATTTAAAATATACGACGTTTGACTGCCCCCAGCATAATAAGGGGAGATTCCCAATGACCCCTGGCTGCTTCAAGCCCCCTGGCTGTCTTAAAGACCCTGACTGTTTTTAAAGCCCCCGGCGTCTTAAAAGGGACCCCTGGCTTCTTCAAGCCCCCGGGCGGGTCTTAAAGACCCCGGGCTGTTTTCAAAACCCCGGCGTCTCAAGCCCCCGGGCGTCTTCAAGACCCCTGGCTGTCTTCAAGACCCCTGGCTGTCTTCAAGCCCCCGGGCTGTTTCAAGCCCCCCTGGCTGTCTTCAAGCCCCTGGCTGTCTTAAAGACCCCGGGCGCTTAAATACCCTGCTGTCTTCAAGACCCCGGCTTCTTCAAGCCCCCGGGCTGTCTTCAATACCCCGGGCGTCTTCAAACACCTGGCTGTCTTCAAGACCCCGGGCTGTCTTAAAGCCCCCGGCTGTCTTCAAGACCCTGGCTGTCTTCAAGCCCCTGGCTGTTTAAAGAACACTGGACGGGTATCAAAATCAGTACCTGACCAACCGACGTGGCTGTACGCGTTTGTGGCGGCCAGCAAATAACAGCCTGGTTGATCAAAAAGATCCACCACGAGGCCGGTCTAAACTGGGCTGCGGGGGGTTGACCCCTCGTAACGTTCTCCAGGTTACTCCGGGGTCTCCAGATATAAAAATTTAACTTTGCTACTCCCCAGTAAAATGATAAACATTGTACTTGTTTTTAGCACGAATCGACCAATGTAAACACATTTTCAAGCTCTTGTCGGGGTACCGGCCCTAATAACAGCAACAATTACTTCAAAACTGAACAGTCTTTTTTCCGATCCGCTTTGGGTTTTTTTTGCCCAAGGTTTCTTTTTTTGGTTTTGAGTCAGGAAACTTCCGACGGGGGCAGGAGCAAGATCAAGGGGGCAAAAACCCTTCTCCCGGAAAGTCTTACCACAATGGGAAGCAAATTTTCCCGGGTTTGCCTTTAAATTTGTCACTGTTCACCCCGTTCTTTTAAACAAACAAGCTCCATGGCCTTTAGCAGAAAACACCCCAAAACACTTAGGTGGGTGTTTTGGCGTTTGTTGAATGTTCTTTTCCAAAGGTTCCCCTTTACCCCTCACTACCCAATTTTTCCTGTACTTCCAAATCCACCTCACAAAAAATTAATTTTTTCTATTAAACGTGTCCATCCCTTATGTCGAGTGCCCACCACAGTAGTTTTTTTTCATACACAGTCAAAAATTGTTTCTTTGGGGGCTTTCTTGCAGTTCTGCAAACTTAAAGGGAGCCTTCGTCGAGCAATTGAAGCAAAAATTTTACTCCAACTGAAGCCAAAGCTCTCTGTAGCCTTTGCTGTTTTCCCAGGGATCCCTAAACCATTTCTTTATTTTTTTTTTAAATGTGAGGTGTTGGTTTTGTTTTTTCTTCACATCTCCCAGTGCAGCGCCCACAATCCCTAGTATCCCAGCGCCTTCAGAACCCGCCCAACATTTGCTCAAATTTTCGGCGACCTGTTTTTCAAAAAAAGTTCAATACTTTTAACGCTTCCTAGGTGTAAACCATCATAATTTTCATCATAAAATAAATTAAAGAGGAGATTTTGGCGAAACTACTTTCAGATTACAGGAAAAACCCTTTACAACAAAAGCTTTTGTACACTGACGAGCCCGGGGGTAACACCACAGGGGGTTTGTTGCCAAAAGTCTTTTGAAAAACCTTTGAGAAAAAAAAAGACCCCAAAAACTACTTTAAAATTTAAGCCAAAGACAAGATAATTACGAGATAACACAAATTTGCACCTGCTGTAAATAAATACGGAAGTTGGGTTTGCGCTGGGGTCGATTTTGTGGGAGACTAGGGAAAACCCACATTGCTTGGCTTTGACTCTTGGTTATCTGATCATTAATATTCAACTAATGAAAAATCTTCTTCAGACATGTATGAGAGAACTGAAGATTACCTGAGCAGATGTTAGGCACTGAGAGGCAAGGGTTTTGGGGTATCTTTTAAGGAAAACCCTTGTTTAGTCATTGTCTCTCTGCAACAGTAGCAAACATTTGCACACACCCACCCTCATTTCAGCTGTCCAGGTGGTTCTTAACCCTTTTGAGTGAAAGCCGTCAGTCACAGTGCCCACAAAATGGGGCTTTTAAAAATTTTCCCTCCTCAACCATATGACAATGTATTATTTTCATCAAATTAAAGGGAAAGGTTTTTTGGGTTTTTGGTTTATTAGCGAATTTTATATATATATAATAGAGAGAGAAAGATTTTTTAAAAAAATTGTTAAGAAATTTAAAACAAAGTTTTTTTCTTTGTAGGTTACTTAAAAAATTTAGAAATTGACGCACATTAAAACACAATTTGGAGACGAGTTACAGTAGGTAGAGGGTATTAGCCCCAGACTTTTTTCATTACAGGACGGTGGGAAAACTTCTTAAACCTGCATCATCTAAATCTAAGTTTTGGGAGAGACTTTATTCTGTTATCCAAAATGATGAGTGACTTCGCAGCAATAAATAAATCGAACGGGGTTTTTAGGGGGGGGGTAATGAATATATATGATCGAATTAATAAAAAATATTTTCATTTTTGCAGATACAAAAAACGTTTTTTACAAATTTATTTTCCACGAGACGCAATTGTTTACAAATATAACCCTAGGCTGTGTATCATGGAAAAAACACTTATTTTTTTCAATACACTTCGGATTTTCAGATTCAAAAAGGGATCCAGTATTGCACTCAGTAAAGAGAAAGAGACACCCAGAACACCAAAGTGCTGATTCGAAGCTCGGGGTTGACCTTGTGAGTTCCTTTAGCACTCGTGCGACTTACTGAATTGCAGTAATTAAAATCCCCGGGGGTACTCAAACAGGGATACCTGATCAGTGTAGGGGTGCTGGATGAGTGTCAGTGGCGGGGTTTGTGTAGGTGTGCTGGAAGCGTGGTCAGGGGGTTTCTGGTGCAGTCAGGTGTGTTGGGTGCAGTGTCAGGGTTTGTTGCAGTTCATGAGTTGGATGCAGTGTCAGGGGTGCTGGGTGCTGTCATGGGGGTTTCTGGATTTAGTGTCGGGGGTGCTGGATGCAGTGTCAGGTGTGCTGGATGCAGGTCACGCAAAAGTGTGAGGTGCAACAAAATGGGGAAGGGGGTAAAAAGTTTTTCCAAAATTTTATAATCTAGGAAAACGCTAAACCGAAGGAAAACAGCCCTGTGGGAAGGGGGGGGAAGGGGAAGGTATTCAGGCTTCATTCAGAGAACTGGAGCACAGATCCAATTCCCTAGATCAAGAGCCCCTCACCCTTGAAGGGCAAAGGTATTCCAACATGGTGTAACCAAGGACCTCCTAGCACTGGCCAGCAGGTAGTCTATATTCTCACCTACAATGGCTACTACAAGCAAAATATACACAGGAAATGTACACAGAAAATGTTAGTGTCTATAACGGTAAAAGACATTGACGAAACAATAAAAAAATCAGGCTTTTAGTTACTTTTTTTTAATCAGGACATTAACTCTGATGTTAAATATTTGTACTCTAATAACCTATTGTATATAATTATCCAAATAAAGTGACTAATGTCAATAAAAAGAGGAAAATAATCGGTGTAAAGGAGTACATACAATACCTTGCAACAGACTCAACATGCAGGGAAGATTCAGGCATCAGCGCTGTATGACCCTTGTGGGTTTACCGCTTAGTTATGATTACAATATTTCTGCAGAAATATTTCTGCCTGATTATAATAATTCAGTCAGAAATATGAGTACTAGGCAAATTGAACACAGTAGGTTTGATGAATGCTCAGTGTGAATTATTATTAAGTGAGAAAATTACCTGCATGAGGTTTACAGGGTATTACCTGAATTATTACAGGTAAGTAATTTGGATGAGATAAGTGGGACTCAATCACAGTAGGTCGCAGGACTGTTACTCCCTCGATGCCCACTCCCTACCACTCACATGAAAAGCTAGACCTGACATTAAATTAATAATTACAATATTAAAACCAGCTACTCTGGTAAATTAAAATTGTGTGGACTGTATATGATTAGGCTTGCTGGGTACACAAAATATAATTATTGTACATAAATTATAACAGTGTTATTAGAAAGGAAATTCGTATTACCATTTACCATTTAATTACTGGATCATAATTATTTTTTTTGAAACACACCCTAATGCTACCACGAGAGCTAGAATTTACGATGGCCAATGTAAAACTACTGTACATTATGGGATAAGCATCACTTAGCTAAGGTGTGCTCCTGAGAGAATCAGTGTCCTCTATCTGTCCGTTCTTGTTGCCGAATTGTAAAGATTTTTCACACTGTTTATCACAATTCTTCAGCGAGAGCGTGTCAATGATTTCTAAATTCTGGATTAAGGCCGATACACACCCATTGAACTTCCATGATGCCCGATTACATTGCAAAATTAAAGGACCAGTGTTCACACATTAAATTCAATATGGCGTCTCCTCTGCAGCATCATTCCCCCTGCTGTTCTGCCTCTCCCTTCAATGAAAATTTCTCGAGGGGTCCAAACAGCATCATATTTTAATATACAATTATTATATTATTCATTTATATGTTCTGCATTTAGGAAAATTATGTAAAAAATTTCCACACTCAGATTAACTACCATATTTCAACATATTTAAGACAAGAATTGATATGTTGAATGAGGAAGAGCAAATCATAGTAATTAAAGAACATCAGCAAAGGTATTCAAATCTTAACATGTCAGGTTCAGTGGTAACATGACATTGTAACTAGGGTGGCGATGACACAAAACTTCATCAGCTACCAGTTGGTTATGCAACCTAACCTCACTTTCACGTAAATCCTACCCAGACACTGCATTGTCCTGCACATTAATCTATTTTGAGAATCCCAGAGTATGGACTAAAAAATATTCAGTTTTGTTTCCTGTCTGTTTTCACCAGCACCGCTGACAGCAGTAGCACTACCACTGCCACCAGTGGCGACAGCATCATCACTGCTTCCATCACTAATCTGAGCACTTTACCAATCATCATCCTGATTATATTTGTCGTTCTTATCTCGTTCTTCAGCATCACCTGCAGCAGGTAACTCTAGATTAGAGGGAAAATTGGCATGTCTTTGGGTAATTAAGTTTAAATAACTCAAAACTATGCTACATCTATAAAATATTTTCTTTTGACACAAGGAGCAAAAGGATAATAGAAGTTTAAAATATAATAATAATAATAATAATAATAATAATAATAATAATAATAATAATAATAATAATAATAATAATAATAATATTTATGGATATTATTATTATTATTATTATTATTATTATTATTATTATTATTATTATTATTATTATTATTATTATTATTATTATTATTACTATTATTATTATTTTTATGTGAGTAAATTGCCTGCATGATGTTTATAGGGCATTACCTGAATTATTACAGGCAGGTAATTTGGGTGAGGTAAGTGGGACTTAGTCACAGTAGGTCGCAAAACTGTCACTCCCTCGAAGCCTACTTCATCACCACCCTCACAAAAATTAATAATTATAATATTAAAACCAGCTACTCTGGTAAATTAAAGTTGTAGACAGTATATGATTTGGCTTGCTGGGTACACAACAGAAATTCATATTACCACTTACCATTTAATTACTGTAGATTGATCACACCACAACACCTGCCTGACACCTAGACCCTACGCTGGCTAGCTAGAGATCTAAATGCAAGAACTAATGGTGCACTTACCTGTGAGTGACGGTCGCATTCCTTATATTCCACCATCCACACATAATTCTTGAGGTCCTGCAAATTCCCTGTCCCAGTTCTTCAGCAGGGGACATTAACACGAGTTCCTATTCCAAAATTCAGGCCGGGAAACCCCAACTGACCTTCTGCAACGCCTGAATACATTGCATAATTAAAGAACCAGTGTTCACACATTAAATTCAATATGGCATCTCCCCCCGGAGTCACTCCACAGTTGTTCTACCTCCCTCCCTTACTCGAAATTTCTCGAAGGGTCAAATCAGCATCATATTTTAATACACAATTATTATATAGCTCAAATTTACACATGCTAAATTTAGGAAAATTCAAAATTTTCCGCAATAATAATAATAATAAGATATGATGCATCAGACCCACAAATATTACTTATTAACATAAGGTGTCCTAAGTGTCCATTCCCCCACTGTAAAGAGTATTATTGTGCACAGGACTATGAACTGCACACAAATAACCCGCACATAAAAGAGAGGAGCTTACGACGACGTTTCGGTCCGACTTGGACCATTTACAAAGTCACAATGGTCCAAGTCGGACCGAAACGTCGTCGTAAGCTCCTCTCTTCTATGTGCGGGTTATTTGTGTATCGTTCCAGTCACGATATTGTGTCTTTTTTTTTTTTTTTGTCTATGAACTGCGTCAAGAAGCATTCTTCCAGTTTCCTAACACGCGTAATACATTCCTTAGTACTACTAATGTTATACGGGTCATATATATGATTAAAACCAGTTTCGGAAGACATTCTGTTTCCTGACGAATATTAAAACCACATTAAAAAAAGGGTAATCTATATGATTGGGAACCTTATGAAGAGATACTTTTCATGTCTCCTGACGAATATTACACTGACTTCAAAAGTACTAATATAATTTGTTAAAGGGGTAATCCGGTAAACCAGTCGAAGGTCTCAGTCAGATAACCAAGAGCTCCAGTGGCGAGTTATCATATAACTAAGATCCGCGTCAGGAAACACTTGCCCTGTTTCCTGACAAATCTTACCTTGACTATGACCCGTGTCAGGAGGCACTTGTCTCCTGACAAATAAAGCAAGTTGACTTCGTATCAGGACTGTCCTGACTAATGTACATCGTGAGGTGTCTCAATGTATATACAATAGAGAACCTTTTTTAATCACGATTTTAGGATTAAAGTATTCGTGACCGGTGGTGTGCAGGTGATATGCATCCTTAATGACTGATCCCCGTGTAGTCGACAGGCTTTAAATCAATTTAACTTGACAGGACTCGCTTGATGAGGTTTCTTGCCTACCTGCTGGGGAACTGTGCTGCTTGTTCCATCTACCTGCAGAGTTGCTGGTCTGCCGCCAGCGCCCCCTTTAAAGGATTACGATGTTATGGTCAGGATAGTAGCATCTACTTCAGGAGAGTCTGTCAGTTGTTTACGTGCCGGATTAATTGCTTCCAGTCTGAACGAGGTAGGAACAATGGAATGAGTAACAACAGGAGAGACAAGGGTAAAAGGATTGAGGGCATAATGAGCAGAAAATTTGATTCCTTGAATTACTGGAGGTAAATTTTACATTTTAACACAGACAGTTTCTCTGCTACCAGGTTTGATACGAGATTAGGTTGAATAACAGGTCTTAGTTTGCAAAATTAAAACGTAAAAACTCTTGGGCGTATATAAAAAACTTTTGACGCCTTTTTTTCACCTTTTTTTTATATTAATATTTTATACTTGCCGTTTCTTTCCTGTCTATTTGTTAAATTCACAGAAACATTCGAGACACGAATCGTGATGGATAAGTCGGAGGAAAACGTTTCCAGCTCGACGAAACCAAATAAAAATGACAGCGAGGCTTCCAAGGCTGCCTCCTCTCTCTTGGCTGAGGAAGTCTCTATAACGTCCACCAGGGTGTACCCGGCCAATGAACTCCTGACTTGGGAACAACACATTCAGGAATCACCGGACCCACCCACAAAGACCCACACCCTCGAAAAGGCCCCCTGGAAAAAAAATAGTTCTTTCTTGGCACTGTTCAATAAAGGTGAGACCGACATAAATTATTATAATCATGGAAAAATAGTTTGCTGTAATTAATGGTTACAGTGCCTTGGGAATAGGATCAAGAGCTCTTCACGAACATAAAAGCACCTTTCTTGAAGGGAATCCAATAAAAAGATTCCTTACACTTAGTTGGTTGACAAGCATTGTATAATGTATTAGTTAACTAGCCTTGTTAGTCGTTTTATGTTCTTGGTAATTTAAAAGGCCGAAATATATTTTTTATATGTTAACATATTTCATCTTTGTGTCTGTACAGAAAAATATTTATGTATGTTACTCTCGAAGTTAAAACTAGTTCAAATACCTTACGGTATATATAAATTAGAACACGTCCCAGAGGTGAGCTGGGAACAGTGACCTCGCTGTTATTGTCAAGATGGCGTCGGGTTTTCAGTCTCCATGTGAAATATTGAAATTCAGGACATTTACAACATTTTTTTTTGTTCATTACCAGGCTCCTGTCACAACAAGGTGCATGTTCTCAGTTATTACGGAGTACTGTATTAATTTTTTTTTATTAACACATCGGCCGATTCCCACCAAGGCAGGGTGGCCCGAAAAAGAAAAGCTTTCATCATCATTCACTCCATCACTGTCTTGCCAAAGGGGTGCTTTACACTACAGTTTATAAAACTGCAACATTAACACTCCTTCAGAGTGCAGACACTGTACTTCCTATCTATAGGACTCAAGTCCGGCCTGCCGGTTTCCTTGAATCCCTTCATGAATGTTACTTTGCTCACACTCCAACAGCACGTCCAGTATTAAAAACCATTTGTCTCCATTCACTCCTATCAAATACGCTCACGCACGCTTGCTGGAAGTCCAAGCTCCTCGCACACAAAACCTCCTTCACCCCCTCCCTCCAACCCTTTCTAGGCCGACCCCTACCCCGCCTTCCCAAACTACGAATTCTCTGCATTATATTCACACCACACATTGCCCTTAGACATGACATCTCCACTGCCTCCAGCCTTCTCGTTGCAACATTCATCACCCATGCTTCACACCCATACAAGAGTGTTGGTACAACTATACTCTCATACATCCCCCTCTTAGCTTCCACGGACAAAGTTCTTTATCCCCACAGACTCCTAAGTGCACCACTCACCCTTTTCCCCTTATCAATTCTATGATTCACCTCATCCTTAAGATAAGATTTCGTTACGATTTTTAACCCCGGAGGGTTAGCCACCCAGGATAACCCTCCCGGGAAAGTCAGTGCATCATTGAGGACTGTCTAACTTATTTCCATTGGGGTCCTCAATCTTGTCCCCCAGGATGCGACCCACACCAGTCGACTAACACCCAGGTACCTATTTGCTGCTAGGCGAACAGAAGAACAAGTATAAGGAAACGTGTCGAAATGTTTCCACCCGCCGGGAATCGAACCCGGGCCCTCCGCGTGTGAAGCGGGAGCTTTAGCCACCAGGCCACCTTCATAGACCCATCTGCTGACACGTCCACTCCTAAATATCTGAATACATTCACCTCCTCCATACTCTCTCCATCCAGTCCGATATCCAGTCTTTCATCACCTAATCATGTTGTTATCCTCATCGCCTTATTCTTTCCTATATTCACTTTAATTTTCTTCTTTTACATAACCTACCAAATTCATCCACCAACCTCTGCAACCTCTCTTCAGAATCTCACAAAAGCAGTGTCATCAGCAAAGAGCAACTGTGACAACTCCCACTTTGTGTTTGATTCTTTATTTTTTAACTCCACGCCTCTTGCCAAGACCCTCGCATTCACTTTTCTTACAACCCCATCTATAAATATATTAAACAACCACGGTGACATCACACATCCTTGTCTATAATAATCTTCCTCTCTCCTACCTGAGCCTCACTATCCTCGTAAAAACTCTTCACTGCTTTCAGTGACCTACCTCCTGTACCATACACCTGCAGCATCTGCCACATTGCCCCCCTATCCACCCTGTCATGTGCCTTTTCAAAATCCATAAATGCCACAAAAATCTCTTTACCCTTATCTAAATACTGTTCACCTATATGTTTCACTGTAAACACTTGGTCTACACATCCCCTACCTTTCCCAAAGCCTCATTGTTCATCTGCTATCCTACTCTCCGTCTTACTCTTAATTCTTTCAATAATAACTCTACCATACACTTTACCAGGTACACTCAACAGACTTATTTCCCTATAATTTTTGCATTTTTTTATCCCCTTTGCCTTTATACAAAGGAACTATGCATGCTCTCTGCCAATCCCTAGGTACCTTACCCTATTCCATACATTTGTTAAATAATAGCACCAACCACTCCAAAACTATATCCCCACCTGCTTTTAACATTTCTATCTTTATCCCATCAATCCCAGCTATCTTACCCCCTTTCATTGTACCCACTGCCTCACGAGCTTCCCCCACACTCACAACTGACTCTTCCTCACTCCTACAAGATGTTATTCCTCCTTGCCCTATACACGAAATCACAGCTTCCCTATCTTCATCAACATTTAACAATTCCTCAAAATATTCCCTCCATCTTCCCAATACCTCTAACTCTCCATTTAATAACTCTCCTCTCCTGTTTTTAACTGTCAAATCCATTTGTTCCCTAGGCTTCCTCAACTTATTAATCTCACTCCAAAACTTTTTCTTATTTTCAACAAAATTTGTTGAGTAAAAGGACACAAGCGCAACTAATGTGACATTTTATTGTGGCAACGTTTCGCTCTCCAGGAGCTTTGTCAAGCCGTTACAAACAGTACAAGGACACAGAGGGTATATATAGGCTCAGAGTGAGGTGCAATACTAGTGGTAGTAGTAGTAGTAGTAGTAGTAGTAGTAGTGATATAAGTAGTAGTAGTACTAGTAATAGTAATACAATATGTTACGAAACAATTAAGGCTTTACTTGAAAAAATAAAAAAGGTTTTTCTATTGAAAACATAAAAACTGTTTAAAAAATATTTCTTCTGGAGGCTGGATATAAAAGGCTTTTGGGGTTTACTTTTTAAAATTCTCTAGCTTAAGGGGTGGTTTGTTTGTATGTATTAACAGGAATGAAGAACTAATGGATTGCGCGGGTTATTTCTTTTCAGAGATTCTTGCTACCAAACTTCAGAGATGGTAACTGGGCTTTTTGGTGTTGTACAATTGTATTAGAAAGTTATTACTGAAGGAATAGTCATTGCGTCTGCGGAATTGTATCTGTTGATAAAAGCTTCTGAGGCAAGTGCCCTGTCACTTGTGGGTCCTTTTACTTTACATATTGTCGGTAATTCTGCCAACTTTATTACAAAATTTGTTGATAACATCTCACCCACTCTTTCATTTGCTCTCTTTATAGATTGCTTCACCACTCTCTTAGCCTCTCTTTCTTTCTCCATATACTCTTCCCTCCTTGCATCACTTCTACTTTGTAAAAACCTCTCATATGCTAACTTTTTCTCCCTTACTGCTCTCTTTACATCGTCAGGCCACCAATCGCTCTTCCCTCCCGCATCCACTTTCCTGTAACCACAAACTTCTGCTGAACACTCTAACACTACATTCTTAAACCTACCCAAACATCTTCGAACTCATTGCCTATACTCTCACTAGCTCATCTATCCTCCAATAGTTGTTTGTATCCTACCCTAACTGCCTCCTCTTTTAGTTTATACACCTTCACCTCTCTCTAACTTTCTGCTTCTATTTACCTTGTATCCCATCTACCTTTTACCCTCACTGTAGCTACAACTAGAAAGTGATGTGCTATATATGTGGCCCCTCTAAAAACATGTACATCCTGAAGTCTACTCAGCAGTCTTTTATCTATCAATACATAGTCCAACAAACTACTGTCATTACGCCCTACATCATATCTTGTATACCTATTTATCCTCTTTTTCTTAAAATACATATTACCTATAACTAAACCCCTTTCTATACACAGTTCAATCAAAGGGCTCCCATTATCATTTACACCTGGCACCCCAAACTTACCTACCACGCTCCATATATAATGTCATTTTTCCGTGTAGTATACTGAAAGTGGACGTGTATTATTCCCTGAAAGCAAACACGTTTTATTCCTGTCAGTCAGGCAGTGGTCAGGACAGGAGCAGGTGATAGGTGTGTTTAGTTCAGTACGAGCCGGTGACTGAGGTAAAGTCATCATGTTTGGGCGGTAGTTTGAGTAGGTAATTTTGGTAAGATTTTTAGGGTATACTACATGTGTTTATGTTTAAGTGCTCTCATGTTTATTTGTAAGGTACTAGTATGCAGAGGCCTGTTTAAGCGAGAGTACTGTATGGTGTTTTGCCTGCTGGTCATTAGTCCACCAGAGAGAAGTGAAGACGAGGGGGAAGGGTGTCATGGAGCCTCCCTGATGATTTATTTTGTTGAACTCATTAGTAGCAGTGTGCTAGTGAGCTAATGTGAACTGGAGTCTGGTGGTTTTTTGGAGTAGATTGTAAGTTGTATATAAGTTACTATTATTAATATAGATATATTTTCATATAGGTGAGTTTTTGTCCTTCCTTCCTAATAATAATAATTAATATTGTTTAATATACGAGTACATGCTGGCCCTAGAGTTGCTGTGTTTTTCAGTGTAATTTTATAACCCCTAGACAGCAGTGTGAGCAGCCTTAAGGAGCCACGACCATTTTATTTAAGTTACGACATCAAAGTCGTAACATCAGTCTACATCTGATAATGATAATCTTTATTTCTAAAATTATCAGTATACAATTGATGTAACATACGCCAACACACTGCACAAATAACCCGCAAAATTAAAACGTAAAAACTCTTCGGTGTTCATAAAATCTTTCGACGCCTTTTTTTTCACCTTTTTTATATTAATATTTTATACTTGCCGTTTCTTTCCTGTCTATTTGTTAAATTCACAGAAACATTCGAGACACGAATCGTGATGGATAAGTCGGAGGAAGACGTTTCCAGCTCGACGAAACCAAATAAAAATGACAGCGAGGCTTCCAAGGCTGCCTCCTCTCTCTTGGCTGAGGAAGTCTCTATAACGTCCACCAGGGTGTACCCGGCCAATGAACTCCTGACTTGGGAACAACACATTCAGGAATCACTCGACCCACCCACAAAGACCCACACCCTCGAAAAGGCCCCCTGGAAAAAAGTTCGTGCTTTCTTGGCACTGTTCAATAAAGGTGAGTCCGACATAAATTATTATAATCTTGGAAAAATAGTTTGCAGTAATTAAAGGTTACAGTGCCTTGGGAATAGGATCAAGAGCTCTTCACGAACATAAGAGCACCTTTCTTGAAGGGAATCCAATAAAAAGATTCCTTACACTTAGTTGGTTGACAAGCATTGCATAATGTATTAGTTGACTAGCCTTGTTAGTCGTTTTATGTTCTTGGTAATTTAAAAGGCCGAAATATATTTTTTATATGTTAACATATTTCATCTTTGTGTCTGTACAGAAAAATATTTATGTATGTTACTCTCGAAGTTAAAACTAGTTCAAATACCTTACGGTATATATAAATTAGAACACGTCCCAGAGGTGAGCTGGGAACAGTGACCTCGCTGTTATTGTCAAGATGGCGTCGGGTTTTCAGTCTCCATGTGAAATATTGAAATTCAGGACATTTACAACATTTTTTTTTGTTCATTACAAGGCTCCTGTCACAACAAGGTGCATGACATCAGTCTACATCTGATAATGATAATCTTTATTTCTAAAATTATCAGTATACAATTGATGTAACATACACGACCACACTGCACAAGTAACCCGCATATAAAAGATACAACAACATTTCGATCCGACCGAAACGTTGTCGTAAGTTTCTTTAATATGCGGGTTATTTGTGTATTGCTTCAGTCACGTTATTGTGTCTTAATTCTTAACTGATGTAAGATTAGTTAACATAACTACATTCTTCATAGAGAGGCTGTGGTATGCACAACATTACTGTCAACATTAACATGTTAGACGGACTTACTTTCTTAAGTCTACCTTAAGGAGTGTTTGTATTGGATGACACTTGTGTTGAGATTTCTTTGAGTTTCTCTTATTACTAATCCTCCAGGTTAAAAAATCCGATTACAAGCTCCTTCTAAATTCGGAGTAAAAACTTCTATAGTTTATTATCGATTACGTAAGTTTTCTATAATTTATTTTATCAGAAAACGAGATATAAAGAAGAGTAACTAAAATAGTCTCACTAAATTTTTATAAGTAGCATCGTACGTGTAAGTAAGTAAGTAAGTAAGTAAATTTATTCAGGTATACACAATACAGTTACATAGAATTATCATACATAGCAGCATATGTGTAGAGAACCTAGGATAACCCAAAAAAGTCAGACAGAGTGACTTATTTCCATTGGGGTCCTTTTACCTTATTATTATAATATAAAAGTTATAATATTTTCTTATTATTCTATAATGAAGATAACATCTTATTATCATACTAAAAAGACTATCTACTACACGAGGGTCATTAAGACTATCTACAATACGAGGGTCATTAAGACTATCTACTACCCGAGGGTCATTACGACTATCTACAATACGAGGGTCATTACTAGGGATAAGGTAAAATTTACACGTATTTTAGCTAAAAAATAGAAAATCATTCCCCTCCCTTTCTGTTGCTTCATTCATCAGACACTTTTTGGCAGTCTTCTTGAACTGGTTCAAGCTATGACTGGCCTTGACATTTGTGGGTAGTCTGTTCCATTCCTTTATTGCTGTACAATAAAAGGTGTTTGAAGCCTGGCCACTGACTGTGGGTACTACAAAGTTGTGCTCTCTCCCCCTAGTACTATGATTGCTTTGGTTCCCAACCTTGACAAAATTGACAGCAAGATATTCTGGACACTGTTCGTGAGCAATTTTATAAACATGATTTAGCTTCAGTTGTTTTAACTCTGTCTTCAACATTCAGCATATCCAACTGCTGTAATTCATCCTGGCCTACATGTTCTCTTGGTCCCAGCCCCAGGATGAATCTTACGATTTTGTTCTGGGTGATTTGCAGTCTATCTTTCAGTTTTTTGTCAAGGCAGAGTACCAAGAAGAGCAAGCGTAATCCATATGGCATTGTATAAGGGCTAGACATAGGGTCCTGCGAGCCTCAGTAGGTAGACACTGTGCTTGTCTATACAGGAACTTCAGCCTGGCATTCGCTTTCTTTACTACACTGTTCCCTATCAATTCTCCTGACATGCATGGGTCAAAGGGGATTCCCAGATATTTAACTGATGAAACCAAAGTGATGGACTCCCCATTACACTGAACATTAAAATTATTTACCCTTCTCAGTTTATGTTTCGTTCCAAAGAGAATGGCTTCAGTTTTCCCTAGGTGTAATGATAGTTTGTTGTCTACTAACCATTTGCTGCAGGACTCCAGTTCCAGTGTTAAAACATTAGATAACCCGTATCTTACAGCTAGGCTTTAAATAATGAGATACTATAGAGATCCCTACAGAAATAAGTCATTGACTTTTTTTTTTTGGAGGGGTGAAGAGTTGTTCTAAGTAATTTACACATGTTGCTATGTATGGAAATAAGTCACTTTGTCTTACTTTCTTGGGTTATCTTAGGCAATCTACAAATATGCTGCTATGTATGATAACTCATGCAGATGTATTTATATGTAGCTGTGGATTGAGACACTTATGCAACATATGGGAATCTTTATTCAGGAAACGTTTCGCCACACAGTGGCTTCATCAGTCCAATACAAAGCAGGTGTAAGAAGAGGAGGAGTATGAGGTAATCAGTCCCTCAGCCTGGAGTCGATGCGTTCTACAAGATTGATGGACTGAACACATCGACTCCAGGCTGAGGGACTGATTACCTCATACTCCTCCTCTCCTTACACCTGCTTTGTATTGGACTGATGAAGCCACTGTGTGGAGAAACGTTTCCTGAATAAAGATTTCCATATGTTGCATAAGTGTCTCAATCTTCAACTTGTCGGTTTTCCAAACTATTCATCACATATGTAGCTGTACCTTACATGATAAATGTAATCACCTAAATTTGTGTAACTTATGCTTATGTGTACCTGTGCACATATATAATATGAAAAGTGTTTCACATGGCAGTACTAAATGTAACTAGATATATCTCGGTAGTTGCGTTATACCAGGAAGGTATCCCGTACCGCCTTAATGAATGCAAGATAGTGCAGGGCGGTCATAAATTTCTACTGCAGCAAAGTATAGAACATATGTATATATGTACTCACTTCACTGTACTCACCTAATTGTGGTTGCAGGGGTCGAGACTCGGCTCCTGGCCCCGCCTCTTCACTGAACGCTACTAGGTCCTCTCTCTCCCTACTCCATGAGCTTTATCATTCCTGCCTCCACTACATCACTTCCTAGACTATTACACTTCCTGACAACTCTGTGACTGAAGAAATACTTCCTAACATCCCTTTGACTCATCTGAGTCTTCAACTTCCAAGTGTGACCCCTTGTTTCTGTATCCCATTTCCGGAACATTCTGTCTCTGTCCACCTTGTCTATTCCACGCAGGATTTTGTATGTCGTTATCATGTCTCCCCTAACCCTCCTGTCCTCCAGTGTCGTCAGGCCGATTTCCTTTAACCTTTCTTCGTAGAACATTCCCCTTAGCTCTGGAACTAACGTTGTCGCAAACCTTTGCACTTTCTCTAATTTCTTGACGTGCTTGATCGAGTGCGGGTTCCAAACAGGTGCCGCATACTCCAGTATGGGCCTGATGTACACGGTGTACAGTGCCTTGAACGATTTCTTACTAAGGTATCTGAACGCTGTTCTCAGGTTTGCCAGGCGCCCATATGCTGCAGCAGTTATCTGGTTGATGTGTGCCTCCGGAGACATGCTCGGTGTTATACTCACCCGAAGATCTTTCTCCTTGAGCGAGGTTTGCAGTTTTTGGCTACTTTTGGCGCGTGTATATATGTATATGCGTGTGCATAACATAATGTCTTTATTTCTTCAAGTACATGTACAAGATATGCAGACCATAGCTGACATTAGTGACATACTACTATGTAGAAAGACCTTTGTTACGCAGAGCATTTCCCGCAAATTAGGTCACTTTTGTCCCAGGATGCGATCCACACCAGTCGACTAACTCCCAGGTACCTCTTTTACTGATGGCTGAACATGGACAGCAGGTGTCTTATGGAAACACGTCCTAATGATTTCCAGCCGTACCGGTGGATTGATCCCCGGACCTCAGTGTGTGAGCTGGGTGCGCTAGCACGGGTCGAGTCATAGCTCTTGGCTCTCGCCTCTTCAATGGTGGCTACTAGGTCCACTCTCTCCCTGCTCCATGAGCTTTACCATACCTCTTCTTAAAGCTATATATGGATCTTGCCTTCACTACATCACTTTCCAGATTGTTCCACCTCCTGACAACACTATGGCTGAAGAAATACTTCCTAACATCCCTGTTGACCAGGTGTGGGTTCCATACTGGTGCTGCATACTCTAATATGGGCCTGATGTGCACAGTGTGGAATAAAATCACATTGGTATTAAAAGATGATAACATCAAAACGGCCTTCATAAAAAACATGACAGCATTCTATAACAGATGGGAAAATATAAAGCCTGGGCCAGATGGTGCAAATGCTGTCCTGGTAGACAGTAACTGTAAGAATAGAGAAATAAATTATAGTGGCCTGGAGGGACAGAAGCTCTAGTGCGGAAACAGGTGTCAACAAGGACATGCAAAAAATCAATGTTACAAACTAGCAACACTACGGGAAATAATAAACAAGGGGATGCACCGAGAAATAGTGAAGATAAATTAATAGAAATAACTGATGAAAGCTCCATTGTTAGTACTAGTGCTGAAGATAGAAATGAGACAGGAAAACACGCACCAGTAGGGAATGCAGTCATGAAAAACCAAGGCAAACGGAAACCAGGCCTATGCAAATTCTATGCGCTTAGTATCTGCAGGCATAGAATATCTGAAAAAAACAGATAAGACGTGCAACTTTGACCATCCCAGAAAATGCCGTGCCCATATGACAACACGAAAATGCAACCTCCCTTCCTGTAAGCTTTTCCCCCCTCAAGGGAGGTTCCTTGACGCTGGTGAGGGACTCTTGATCTAGGGAATTGGATCTGTGCTCCAGTTCCCTGAATCACCCCTCCCCCTATAGGTGCTGTATAATCCTACGGGTTTAG